TTTTAAATGTATTTGCATATATAATTTCAGATGTAATGTTTTAGTTTTATCAAGGATTTAAACAAATGCCAGCACTGGCTTTAGTAGCCACATTTTGTGTGTCAAACGCGTACAAACATTTTGGACCTGAATTTGTAATTATGTACAAATTTTGTAAATGTATTTTTCCATGTATATTTTATTACGTCATTTTTAGATTTGATCAAGAACGTAATGCCAATGCTGTTTGTTTATAGTAAGTTTCATGCTATTTTGTGTGTATAAAGTTAACAAAAAATTGTATGGTTTGGTTTGGTATGGCACAGTGTGTTGCCACGTGTACACCTAAAGAAAACTAAGTAAACTAAGTTTCGTGAATTTATAAACTGTTATTCATAATATCGTTAAAACAATAACTTTAAATAAACTATATTACTTATATCGTTGTGTCATTTATTCGGTTATATTACATGGTTAATCAGGAGAAAACCATATCTCTAAAGCTAACAAGTAGCATGGCATTTTCAAGTAACAGCATATTGAAATTCTCATATAATAATAGTAGAATACAATACAATAATAATAATAAAAGAAATTGTCTCTCTTCATGGCCGCTTTCTGGGTGTGAATCTGGCTCAAACTGACACGGAAGTATTGACACCATTATTTACATTTGACCGGAGCACACGTAAAGGTAATGGGCGTGAAGTATCTGGACAACGTGCACTATGCAGTTTAGCCAATTACAACACACCACCCCAAACAAACCAATCTGAGCCCATTGCTGGTTTCTGAGGGAGTGGTTTCATAGTCAACCGGACGTTCAAATGACAGAGGAGAAAGCGGTTTACAGAAAAATAAGGCTTTTAAAACAAAACAAAACACGAAGATATATTACATTGCACACCATAAACACAATCATGCAAAGAAAAAAAGCAGTAAACCACCCCTTGAAATAGTCCTAAGTCTTTCCCACATGTTTACATCAGCATGCAGATTGTTTGTGTCAGGAGGCTGGGTCACTATCGATTTGTCACACCCCACAAACTCTCAGAGCTGAAAGATCCCGCTCATATCGATTCGCTCTTTTCTTTACTCATGCAGATCATCATGTAAGCCTCTGCAGCGTACATGTTTTCAGCTTGCTCTGGGAGCAACGCTTACATAAGCGCACTCATAGCCCACTTCACACCGCTTCAACTCAATTTTATTTGGCATGGATTCTCATCTTCTTTTGAGAATAGAAGAACAAACAGGAAAATAACGCAAGCAGTCACATAAACATGCAGTGGGTGTGGGGAGAGGATGAACTGATCATCCTGCAATCGCTGCTAAGGTTTCTGGGAGTGTTTGAAATTGTCTCTATATGACATTCTTCTCTAATGGGAATGAATACACACCAAAATGCACTCTTGAATTGCAGCCCAGTCCTTACTGATCCTCATTAGCAGCTTGAAACGCTGGACCCCTTTACAATCTCTCTCTCTCACACACACACACGTACCAATAATTCCCTGGTCTCCTGCTGTCAGGTGTCGGCTCTCTGAAATTATGACTGGAGTGGGAATAAGAGTTAAGTTTCTGTTGTGCTGTTAGGCAGAGGCGGTTCAGCTGTCTGGTCAGCAGAAATCCACTGACAAACGCACTCAAATCTATATGCAAATGCACACAAATGCAAACATACAAATATAAACCAATTTAAAGCACCAAAAAAACAATAGATGATATTCAAAGCCACTAAAAACAGACGCTCAGATGCATTTTTTTGCCCACACGAGCTTTGAGCATGAACGCAGGCAACCGAAATATATATGTACGAACTAAGAGACTCATATCTGCAGTCAGATTCACTCATCCACCCACACAGACCCACAATACACAATTCCACACCACCTCCAACAAGCTCTCATGAGCGATCACACTCATCTAGGGATGGGAATTGTAAGGAATTTAACGTTCTGCTTCTGAACGATTCTGGTTTCTGAAAACCAGATGTTACATATAGCAACAGATCCTTTCTACTGTATTGTGAAGTACATCCAAGTGAAATAGATCAATCTATTTGCTGACTTTCGGCATGATTGTGTAAATAAGGATTCATATGCACATTTAGCTGTATAATTGAACAATGTTTTTTTTTTAATTTTTATTGGTTACTGTTCTACATTCAAGGAACAATCAAGTTTGACGTGAAACTTTGGGTATACTATAACATACAGTATAATAATGATCAGTTTATCGGTATAGGTCAGAAAATGAATATTATTGCATCCCTAGTTATCATGAAAATCATTTGGTCCCAGTTTGTTTCCAGTGCTGGTTCTCGGATTCCAACTCTGAACACATGCAAAAGTTCATATGTGGTACACGGTCATTCACCCACCTCTAAAAATACTAACACACACTCTTCAGAATCAACATACACTCACACAGGTCAGATCTTTTCATGATAGACAACGCTTTCAGTATGACACATTTCATGTAAAAACACACACACACACTCCCACATGGTGCTTGACTTCTGTAACCCTCTCTAGTTGCCCAACACACTGAAAAGTATGAGTGAACTGTTCAAACAAATCACCCTCATTCTACCTTCCCTTCCACCCACGCAACTTGCCTCTCACCACCTCTCTTTCTCGTTTTTATCTCTTTCTCCTCTGTGAATTATTGCGTGTGCTTTATCATCACATCATGGTTTAATTCTGTCCATCCCATGATGCCTTGCACATCATTTTCCCTCTCTTCATTTCATGCTCTCTCACTTTTCAACTAATAACTTCGATCGAAGCTTCTATCCATCCCTTCTCTCATTTCTCATTAATTGTGCTCCACTTCCATCATGTCATTTTGTTCCCAGTCCAATCTTACAAACCATTTTGCGTCATGAACATATTGTTTTGGAGGGAGCACCAGCGGCAGTCCTGACTCACTTTGTGCCTTTGGCGAGATAAAAAAAATTATCATTTAGCATGCAAACGAAAACATGATGAAATATCAATTTAATGTTCAGAATCAGATTTGGCCAAAAAGCATAGAATACACTTCTTATTCTGCAACACTTCTTTCTGGAGAGTGTTAAAAAATTGGCATCGACACAGTGGTTTTCAGTGAACAAAACAAAACATCAAAAATCTGTGACATTTTGACACTTTAGCTGACATTTTTGCAGCACAAAGACTCCAACAATGGCCTGGAAAATATTACTGGCACCCTTAACAAGTAGAGCAGCAGTTAAATTGGAAATGGGGTGTTATGATTTTTTGGTATGCCGTGAGCAATCCTGGGTTTAACACCTGTTTATCAGAAATAGGGCTGCATCCAGTTCATCCAGACCAGACAGGCTTCATCAAAAACAGAAATGCAACAGACAATATCCACAGACTTTTCAATCTTATCAGTATTGCACAAGGACAGACACAAAAACTATAGTTGTATCACTAGACGCAGAAATATATAACAATATATCTGCCTTTAGAGAATAACTGCCTTCAAATGAAAATTCAAAGTTAATGTAAGCAAGCCACGCGCTTTCCCTTTTACCCCCTCCCCACCAATTATCTCTACCCTTCCAATCATTTCATAAGGGTGCATTTGGTTGCCATTCTAGAGCCATTCAAGCCAATTTATCCCCTGTTTACAGGAAATAATTCTATTAAAATGACACTTAAAGCCGACTATTATCCTCTAATTAGCATAACCAGATGCCCCTGTGCTACAACATTGCGGTCAAAGTATTTCATCTTATGTTTACCACAGGCTTTATTATACACATTTAAAAAAAAAATTATACCACATAAACAGCGGCAAATTAGTCATCTGAGTTCTGACGTCATACCTGCAGAAGAAAATGCCTGGAACCCAGTTCCCTTTCACACTAAATATACCACCACTTATCCTGTCTTACACTTTTTTTGGAAGTTGAATTCAGTAAATATCTCCATCTCCATCTTTGAATGCATAAGCTTATTATGTCTAATGTCAACGCAGTCCATCCATGACTCACAATGCCCCATTCACCTCAACATCTATTTAAGTTGTTTACCTATAACCTGACAAGCGGTTTACAACAACTGCCTCCCTCTCTCTGCTGCCAGCATGTTCTTTTCTACAGTTGACCTGCTCACCTCAGATCTGCAGCAGCGCAGTGTGCTTCATGTGCAGGTCAATATCGATTTTCAGGATTGAGAGAAAACTCAGCAGCTCTATCATTCTCAATCTCCTCCTCTCGGGCTTTCTTCCAGACTTCACACATCTCTTCAACTTTATCCTTTGTTCATCCGTTTTCATGTGAGGCTTATAGATTTCTTTCAGCCTTTCTAGCTCTTATCTATCCATGTTCCTATTTTAGTCTCGGGGCCTGTAATCCATGCATACTGTGATCATACCAGGTCAACAGGGTACATCTTACTGTAACTACCATGTAGTACTACGGTGGCTGAGAAAGCTCAACGCGCTGCAACTGAAGAAAACGCATGCAAATAGAAGAAGTAGTGGTGTTTGTTTCTATTTGCACGCATTTCTTTTCTATTTGCATGTGTTTTTTCAAGATCTTTTTTGTCCAAGTTTGTCCAAGATCTAATGTTCTGTCTTTAAAAATACTTAAAGGTACACTCTAAAAAATGCTGGGTTGTTTTAACCCAATTTTGGGTCAAATATGGACAAACCCAAAATGTTGGGTTAAAAATGTAATGTAAAAATTTAACCCAACGGCTGGGTTAGTCCATATTTGACCCAAAGTTGGGTTAAAACAACCCAGCATTTTTTAGAGTGTATGTACTTTCCCATCTCTAGTGATTAGAAGTATGCAAATTTGGATGCTTCCATGAGCTGACAAGGATGACTTGATTCAATTTTGCCTATTCGAGAACACAAACATATGCTCTCTGCAAACATCTGGTTCAATCAGTGTTGGCATTGACAAAGAGCATCTTGTCTCCTTGAAATCCTCCTGTGCACACTTGATAAATTATTAGTAAATCATATCTAGGGTTGTAAGTCCTGAAATATATTTAACTTACATGGTCTCGTCATTGAGGAACTCCAGTTTGCCAGCCACCTCTTCATAGTCTTCTCCAGCTTTGGCGGTACCCTCTGTAGTGTGGTACGGTACTGCCACCTTCCCCCTCGCTCCAGATGTTCTGTGCACCTTCACCTGCATGATGCCCACGCTTTCACTCACTCGTGTGGCATTGTTCTCGAACGTAAAGATACCCGCGTGGTCATCATCGTAAATGGTCACCGTGGCAGTGTGCGAGTTACCCAAGGCAGCTTTGGGAGGAACATGGCTGGACGCTGTGATGCTGTTGCCTGCAGACACCGCATTAGGGTCAAGGATGGAGACCTCGGCACGGTGGACAACTCGAGGGTTGCTGAGATGTACGTAGAAATGCTCATCTTCCTCGAATATGTCATCGTCAATCACACCGACTGTCAGCTCCTTCACCGTCTCGCCCGGTTTGAAGACCAGAGTGCCCTCAGCGAATTCATAATCTGATCCTGCGTTAGCAGTGCCATCCTCTGTGCGATAGTCAACCTAGATACAGGAACAGTTGTCATACAGCTATATTTTTTTATAAATGTGTTCAAATGTAACTTTTAAGAGAAGATGTGAGGTAAATAAATTCCACAATTAACAACAAAAAGGTTGTTCAATATCAGTGAACATATATTTTGAACTCATATTTTGATCAAAATCACATCAAATAATTGAATATAACTTGAACTTGACAATTGAAAGGTTTATATAATAAAATGAGCTAATCTGAAGTCTGTTAAAATAGTGTCATTAAATTGCTTGTCTCCGAAGTGCTGTAATTATTTAAAATAGCTCTGAGAGTACATCCTCGCTGCTGGGACTCGTGGAGGTTTCTGGCCTCAAAATGATATCACATCCATATAATTAAAATACAATGTTGTGTATAGACAGTGGAATCATTACCTTAACAGTGCAGCCACTGTCTCCACCATGTCGGGTCACGGAGAGCTTTAAGGAGCCGCAGTTCTCAAAGCATTGATAATGGGACGGCTCAAACTCCAGGTAGATGGTGTGAGGGTCCTCTTCCTGGGGATTAGCCTCATGGCAGCTCACCACCTTCCTGGCCTGGTCTGCAGCATGCTTCTTCAGGATGTTCCCCGCTCCGATCATCATGCGAGTGGCCTGGATGCGATAGAAAGCTCGACTCTTCTGCTGTTGCACCAGCACTTGGTAGTTTGCCATCTCAATCAGCTGCTCCATGTCCTTCTCCGGGTGTCTCTGCTTGAGATCCTTCAACGTACGAGCCATCTCCCTCCTGGCCTCCTCTTCCTCTCCTCCACCACCTCCTTCCTCCACACCAGCCAGCATGCCATCAAGTGACTCCTTGTGGTGGGAATTGGCACCCTGACCATCCATCTCCATATCCATCTTGCTGAACATGCCGTCACCCTCCGTCTCAATGATGATGCCACGGTTCTTGTCGGCGCGGTAGCGCTTGTGGACGTATTTGTAAAAGAGCAAGCGGCGGTCTGCGATCCAGGCCTGAAGCACGCAGATCGGAAAGAAGAGAAACGTAAGGACGGCCTCCCAGACTTCCACCACACCGGGAGAGAAGACGGACAGGATCAAGTACAGCCAAATGTAGGCGAAAACGCTCCAGGCTGCCGTCACAAAGAAGACCCTCAAGTGCTTGATTTTTCGCACCTCACCGTCCGGGACCACGTAAACGCAGATGGCGATGATAATAAACATGTTGAAGGCAGCGCTGCCCACAATTGTGCTCGGGCCCAGGTTACCAGCCTCAAACTTGTGTCCGCAGACCTCAATCACGGATAACAGGATCTCAGGTGCCGACGATCCCAACGCCATGAGGGTCAAGTTGGACACGGTCTCGTTCCAGATGCGCACGGTTGCTGTGGTGGTCTCGCCGTTGGGTTTCTTGATTGTTATCTCTTTCTCTTGAGACGTGATCACCTCGATGGATGACATGAACCGGTCTGCGATGATGGACATGCCCAAGAACATGTAGATGAGGGCCACAAAGTAGACAATGGCACGTGCCACCTTGTCGCCCACCGAGGGGTTCTGGGGGTTCCACACCGGCAGGACGACGCCCTCAGAGCAGCTGTCCTCCCCTGAACAGTTTCCTATAGTGCTGTGGGATGTGTCGACACTGGCCCGAGAGAGATGAGTGAGGCCCGAGAGGAAGATCAGGAGGAGGAGAGAGGAAAGGCAAGGAGTTGACGGAAGGCGCAAATGAAGCATGGTGGAAGTGTAGTGGTAACTGTGTCCTCCAGTCACAGAGTTGACGATCAATAAACCTCTGAAACACACAAAAGAAACAGAATATTCACTTTTGGTGAGAATGATCATTTAAAAAAGGACCTGTTAAGTGTATCTAAATGTGACATATCAATGAAAGTTTTAACGATTCAAGCATCTCCCGAAACACAGATGTCGTTCAGGATCATGCAGGGAGAATGAGGTTTGCTGTTTGTTGCAAAGAGGGTTTCTGACAGCACAAGACAGCTTGCGTCATGAGGAACTCTTGGAGAGTGTACGTCTTAGAGAGCACAAGCCAACTATAGAAACAATATGATAATTCCTGACAAACTGCAGACATCTGTTTTGGATGTCTTTTTTCTTGATTATTGCAAGAAAGGAAAACATTACAAAAACACAACCATACCTCGTTTAATGTAGAAATCAGACCTCATCCATGTTGCTCACTCAGTCTTTGAGTTTAGTAGATGAGAGTTACATGTGAATAATCAGTTTCCAAGGTAAATATAAAGATGTTGTTGGCCTGCTATATCAAATAATTCACAATGGTATTTTTAATTAATGTTTTGATTTTTTTTCTTCGTTTTAAATCTGGTCTGCTTTAACTATTTTCTGCTTTCGCGCATGTGCTCTTTCGCTCATGCAATGATCAAGGCCACCACTTCAATGTGCGATTTCGAGTTAACATATGTTTACATTAATTTTATTTATAGGCGCCTTTCAAGAAACCTAATGACACCTTACAAACAATAAAACACATGAACAATGAATATAAACAAGAACACATTTTTTTTACACGATTTAAAAAAATGAAAGACTAGAACCATTTCGTATGTCTTCCAAAGACTCGGAGCAGTAAACTAAAAGCTCTTCATACCATGGTGGTCAAACGTACAGGTGGTATAACTGGAGTCGTTGTAGAAGACCTAAGAGTGATGTAGGTGAATAAAGTAGTTCACACAAACATGAAGGTGCCATATTAAGGAAAGCCTTATAAGTGAAAAGTAAAATTTGCATTGAATGAATGCAATATGTTTTGTGTGAGCACATGGCTTGTCTAACCCAGCCCATCTTGTTACCTGATTATTGATTAATTTGCCCCACCTGTCCTTCCTCGTTACCTGCCTCTCTATTTATTTTCCTTGTGTTTGCAGTCCTGTGCCAATCGTGTTCATATGTACACCATCTATGATCCAGTCCAGTCCAGTCCAGTCCAGTCCAGTCCAGTCCAGTCCAGTCCTCTCAGGGTAGTTTATGTTTGTGTTTTGTTTAATTTTATTATCACTTCACCATGTTGAGTCCTCGCTTCACCCCTTCACCCTACCCTGACATATATTTTGTTCTAATGTCACAAAGAATAATCTCAAGATTAACACATTTCTGATTTGTTTCTTTTGGTAGCGTGGGTTTGGAGAAGTGTAGGAAAAACTAACATTGTGTACATTGCTTCTTACAGTTGCCTCCTGATGGTTTATAGGACAATTACTCTGAGTTGCCCCCTATCGTTTCAAAGAAAAGTCCAACTGTGAGCATGTCAAGTATAAACGCCTCGCCCGTTTGGGGAGGAGACCGCACAGTCAGCAGAGGTTTGTGGTGTGGAGCAGGCAAAAGTATCAACAAGGCTTAAGTCACACATTCACACACATTCGTATTTCTGGCTGCTTGGAGATATATGAGATCATCTTCCGCTAAGAGGATGTGTGATGATGCCTGGGTTGTCACGCAAAGTCTAGGTCACATCCAGGTCATTAATGTGACATAGGATAATCTTTGTTAGCTTATATTTGAGAAAGATCAGACCCCACATTGCTGCTTTGAAAATGCAGATATGCAAATGATGCAGACATGGCTTAAACCAGGGCTAACATTAAGTTACACTAAGTTAATTTAGTGAAAGATTAAAAAAATGAACAGAATTAATTTGCAATTTATGCATATCTAAATACACTTTATGTGCTGCCAATACATCCATATTTTATGTTCAGAGCATATTCAAAACATACAAAAATATTTTATGTTCAGAGCATATCCAAAACATACAAAAATATAAACATCTATTTAAATACAAATGAGATCAAGCTGTAAAAACATATTAAAACAAATTAAAACACAGCAACCAAAGATGTCCATTTAGAGCATGCTAACTTAACAACTTAAAAAATAAGCACAGACAGAATCTGCACTGTGTACCTAGACCCGGAGTCTAAGACTTATGGAAATATGACAAAAAATATAATATTAAAGATAAATACATAATAAGAGAGTTCTAAAGTCACTATTTCTATTTAATGCATTTACCACAATATTGTAACATATTAATTTATCTTCATTTAAGGCCTTTCTCAATAAATATTGCTATATGTGATGAACTAAAATTTATTCATTGCCATATGACACATTAAACTGACATTTTTAATCATTTGACAACCCCGACATTGACACTCAAACATTATATGGCACGTCTCAGCACAGCCTTAACGCTTTGATGACATTACCATGTTCACCAACCTTACTCCTTGTGCACTTCCCTGGGCACAAATCATGCACTTGGCATCAAGCACGCTCCCCCACTATTGCCACACACGATGCCAGGCCTATAAATAGCACTGAGGCTGTTTCCTGAGTCCTTAGCATGAGCTCTCAGCCAACAGTGCCTATCAAGAGTGAGGGCTTATCTCGCACACCATTTGGACTGTATCTTATTAATTTCCCATGAGAGAGCATACAAGCAAGCAAATGTTAGAGGCAGAACAGAACAGAACACTGTACCATCCTGCAGGCAGAGTGTTAGCAGTATTTACGATTGATGGACAAATCAATCAAAGCGGCTGATTGCATTAATTGGCATATGCAGAGCATCCACACCACAGCAGCATGGCTAGCACGAGCCGCAAGGCGAAAGGAGCAGTAAGGAGCAGTGAACAGCACTACAAAGCCCTCAGTTATATGAGCAAGCCTGGGGATAAGGAACACATAACCCCATATGAGCTACTGTTGACAGCCTAAAGGATTCATGGCATGCACACTCAGAGGAATAGAGCACACATGGATTACGATAGCATGATAATGTATGGTTTCTGATGCCTCAAAAGATGACCTAATAAGGTTTCCGGTTTCAAAGTATGCTTTGTTTTGGGTGCTGATCCTCAAACCAACTGAGTGTGTAGCCCAGTCTTTTCTAAAAATGCAGTGTTTAGCTCTCTGGCTTTTATGATCTGCTGTGCGCAGTCTACAGGGGATTCCTTCCACCTGTGAATAGCTGTGGCCAATTCCCATAATAACAAGACAGCTCTCCATATGTCTGCCCTGACACTCTCTCTGCACAAGCACTATGAACACACTATGTCATTCTGGGCAGTTATAAATGATTAAACAAGCTCATCTGGACCTTTCAGCTTACGGTTTATCTATATGACATGTGCAAGACTACTAAATGTCAACACTTCTGGGATTCAGCTACAGGTAATCACTGATATTTTGACCACTTATATGCTTTTTACACAACAATTCAATAAACAAAAAGGTTAATATTGTGTAAATGACATTTCAGTCACAATATTTGTTACTTTGTCTATATTTGGTCAGCCAAGGAAAATCATTCAAAACAGAAGAAACAACCGTCTCTGGGCAACACACAGTAGTGGAGTTGACTATGTAAATGATACAATGACTCAATTATAAAAACATTATCACATTATCAGTCCCTCCCAAAATGAATCGGTGTTTGAACAAATCATTTAGTTTGGACAAAAGATTCTTTATGACTGAGGGTGTTTTCACACTTCGGTCGGTTTGCTTGGTTTGGTTGGTCTGGACCAAAAAAAAAAAAAAAAAAAATTCAGTCCTGGTCCGCTTAGTGTACAGAATGATTGGCACTTTTATCACTAAACTAAAAGATACCAAACCTAAAGTCATAGGGTTATGTTCACAACCTGATTGGTCGGCTTTTAAGACATATTGCCTATTTTGAGACGGAATTTACAGAACATCCAAAACTTTGCTGCATGCTGGGATAAATGTGCTAATTGTATGTGTGTAGTCGGTTTAGTCATTGTTTAGTTCATTTCCTGTTAAAACCATATAATGGTCTGATAAACCCTGTCAGTACATTTTAATGCTTTATAATACACTCTTCCGTATTAGTAAAAATAAGATCTATGAGAGTCTTGAGTTATGCTCTTGTTGGCTTTTTATCAACTGATCATAATTATATTTGGACATCATTATTTAATTTTATTTTTATCTGCCCAATTTATATTAAAATCATCATAAAATATTTCCAGTAGCCTAGTTCCTTCATATCATCATAAATAGAAAAATTGTGTGATGATCATCTGGCTCAACTCTTACCAGATGATATGTCTTTTCTAAAACAGACATAGTCAGGGACATCTACTTACCATGTTTATTGGGACCTTGAAGCCATGTTTCACTCATACAAATTTAATCTAAATTTGTTTCAGTCAAAAGAATATGAGCTTGATCCAGTTTTAACATCAGACTCCATATGTTTAGTGTCCACCTAGAATTTCTCTTAATTTAGCGTTCAGTACAATTTTAGCATGATTTATACAGTTTGAAAGAACTTCTGTTTCAGCAACTGACCAAGTGTTGTCAAGCAGAACTATCGTGCGGACTCCTTCCTTCGTCGATTTTGCTGGGTCGATGTCGCGTGTTTACGTTTTATCAAACCACCTCCGCCTAGCTCATCGGAGCCGTTAACCACGTCAAATCATCTCACAATTCTCACTTCGAACTTCTCCGCCATCGCCCCTTGCGCTCGTAAATCACGCCGGATCAATCTCACGTCTTTGCCGCAAGACACACCAGTCCATCGGCGGCACAATCCCGCTCCAAAAGCAGCACATCAACCTGTGGTGAACTCTGCAGGTCAAAGTCCCCAACCACGCCGGCTCTCGCTGCAGCCAGAGCCCATTATACACCAACACAGTCTCATGAAGATGCGTATCTATACCACGAGTGTCATTTCTCGTGGCATTTATACGCCAAAAGTGTTTTTTTCGTGTATATGGTACGCAC